TAGGGCTCAAGATCTAGAGCAGTGGTTCTCAACCTGTGGGTCGGGACCCCATTTCGGGTCAAACGACCATTTCACGGGGGTCACCAAACAACGCAGTCCACCATTTTTCCCCCTTTTCCTTAGCTGTGCTACTCCCTTTTATTCTATTGGCTTTTGAAAGCCAATAGAATAGACTCTCTTGAATAGAGTCTAATTATATTGGCTTTCAAAAGCCAAAAGGAATTGTCCAGGCTGTCTCTGCCCTGCTGAGCCCGCCAAAAGTCCCATTCTGCAAACGGTGCTGCACCAGTTGAATAGTCCTCGACTTACGACCGGTTGAGTAGTCCCCGACTTATGACCGGTTGGGGGTCGCGGCATTAAAAAGATTGAAAACCACTGATCTAGCATGGCTTGATGTTTGGTTACAGAAAAACAATTATTTGTGGAGGTTAATTTTATTATGAGGAAATGAAATATATTTCTTTGTTGGCTACCTGAATAAGCAATGTTGATCCAGAGTACAGTGACCTAGTTTGATAGCAATGCGTTATAGGCACATTTACAAGATGGGAGGCTGTACTATATATAGAATGGAGTAAACATTTATATACATAGTTATAATCATAGTTATATAAGAGAAACATATAAACAATGACTGGAATTATGTATCTCTAGCCATCCATCCATCCACTCACCCGCCCACCAACCGTTTGCTATACAACTTCCTTTATATTTATGGTTGTATTAAAAGAATTTTAACAATATGAAAAATAGCAATAATACGGTAACTATTATAGTGGCCTACTTTGTGACTGAATCGTTGCTGGAAAAAGTGGAATATAATAGCTTGTTTTCTATATTTCTTTATACATTTTCTCCTCTCCATTACCAATCAGTCAGGAAGTCTAAAATCCAGTTTAAAAACAATAAAATCTCAAGACAAATGACTTAACAAATATATGAGCCCAGACTTAACAATTTGATATACGATCCCAGACACATGCATGAAGCATCTCATTTATTTACTTATAGCCCAATTTGTTTTTAATTTTTTGGGTTACTAAAGTCATTACAGAGTTGTATATTTTCAAATGGAATGGAAATATTGATCCTAGTATGATAAAAAATTTATTTCCAATGTATCCTAGAAGCAGTGATTGCTACTTGGAATTTAATTTGCATCAGCATTTCTCCACTTATTAAACATAATGGAACAGCTTGTCCCAGGATTGCACAGTAGCAACTCAGAAGCAGCTGCCATTTTGCCCCTACTCAAATGTGGGCAATGGCAAAATGGCTGCTGTGAGATAAACTGTTCTATTTTGCTGCCTTAATGGGGTAAGTGAGGAGGACTGTGGGAGGCCTAGTGGAGCGGGAATCAGGCCTGAGGCCATCAGGGAGCAATGTGGGAAGGAAATGGTTACAGGAACCTGGGGCAAACAGAGGTAGGGGGTGCTGCAGTATAATTGTGGTCAGCCATAAGGGCGAATGATTATAGGAGGGCACTGCAGAAGCTGTAATTTTGGGACTGGCATAACTTGCTTTTGGTATCCGCTGTAACTTCGAACATTTAATAAATGTGGGAAATAGCCTCTGTATCATATCTTAGTCCTGCCAGATTGCTATGTTTCACATAATGGAGACAGCATTGCCAAATTGCAAGGATGTTAACATTAGCATTAAAAACGTATTTATATATTAGAAGCTACAAAGGATTCACTGTAAGGAAAAAAGGACATGGTTTCAAAATGCAAGAAAAAAGAAGCCAATATAAAGCTCAGCATGTTTCCATTTAAAAGCATACCTCAAAATGAACAAGATGCCTTCTCATATATTTAAAGCACTGATTCCCACAATACAACCTGAGAAGGCAGTATTTGTTCAAAATCTAAGAAGAGTTAGCAAAAAAGGCCTGTAAAGGAACCAATTTTATTGATGGCTTCTGTAATGCGAATGTACACATTGGAAAACATCTCTATATATTACTGTCATAGCAGAAGCTGTTTCAGCATCATTGGATGATAACTGGTAATTTACCAGCATGAGCAGAATATATGAGAGTAAAAATCACTATGTGTGGCTTCCTGCGTATTTATATTGTATTGCCCTTATAATAAAGCCTCTTAAATTAACTTAGTTGATGTGATGTGATAGAATTCACTTGCTTGGGCAGCTGAATGGTTTTCGTTCCAGCAAACAGGCAAAAAAAAGTGCAACCAATCAGATCAGAAGGAGAGCCACATGGAACGGAGCTAAAGATTGGGAAGATACAGAAAAGACAGAGAACCCTAAGACATAGAAGAAAAATGGAGTGTAAACAGGGAAACAAAGAGAAATCTGAACTGGAGGGCAGATGAAATGCCAGTTCTTCTATAGAAGAGTTTAATGGTAGGGTTCCAAATCTAAAGTCCCTCACAAAAAATAGAAAACTGGACAAAATCAGTGTTTGTTTTGTCTAAGTTGAAATATGGAGAACACTAACAATCAACTTGTGCTACTTCTGACTGACAGGCACTAGACTATAATGTTCAAATACAGTTACTTTTAATTTTTTGTGTTGCCTTACTTAATGGAGAATTTGACCTTCTTCCTTTAGGATGGACTACCTTCTTTTCATCTGTTCTCTCTTTTCACAAGTCAGAATTACTCTTATCTATTTCTCATCAACTGAATGAATTCACTTGCAATTCTACATATTATACTATATTCATCTGTAAATATGAAGAGGCAGTTATCTGCATGCAATTCAGGAAAGGGGGGGGTTGAATGGGACGTTGGTTGCAATTTCATCCATTTCAATTCTTGTACTACCTGAAAGAGGCATTTGAGGATGCGGTGGTTTTAACACTAATTAGTGATTGGGTAAATTTGACAAATCCGGAGATACTTCATTTAGAGGGATGGGATTTACTTTTTGGGTGGCATGCCTATTTAATATTTAATAAAAAATGGATTGGGCTTTTAAATCTCATATTTTAAGAATCTCTTTACTTAGGACTTGGTGAAAATATTATAAAAGTGATTTTAAAGTTCCATTATGGGCTATACCTTGGCATGCGATAGAAGGAATAAAAAGAGGTGTAAGAATGGATATGGTGTCTTATAGTCAGCTACTTAGATGGGATGGGCAAAACTGGCAGTTAAGACTACGGGAAGACTTAGCGCAAGAAAATATTATTTATTCTTGGTTCCAATATAGGCAACTAGTAGATAAATGGAAGGTGGATTGTAAATTGGGTTTTCTTAGAGAAGATGAAAATCTTATTAAGCAAGTTAAGGATCAAAGACAAACCCATATTAAGAGAATCTATGGGGTATTAGTTGAAATGGATTCAGAATCGGAATTAATTAAAGACTGTATGATTAGATGGGCGCAGAATTTTGGTGTCCCAGTCTCATTGGATATCTGGGAAACCATCTGGGTGAGAAATGTCAAATTTACACAAGCACAGAACTTAAGGGAGAATTTTTATAAAATGTTTTATAGATGGCACCTTGATCCACAAAAAATGTCTCTTATGTACCCTGACATACAACCCAAATGTTGGAGATGTGGCTATATGGATGCTTCTTATTATCATATTTGGTGGTCATGTAGAGAGATAAAAGCATTTTGGATTAAGATATGGTGGAATATCCAGAGAATTTTTAAAAGGAGGGTAAAATTTACTCCGCAATTATTCTTGTTGGGTATAGTTACAGATTGTGATACAAAGGAGGTTGTATTGATGTTAAATTTGATTACAGCCGCGAGGCTGTTAGTTGGACAATACTGGAAGAAGGAGTCTTTGCCTACATTGCAGGAATGGTTTCTTAAAGTAGCTTATTTGGCGGAAATGGCAAAGATTTCGGCTTTCCTAAAGCAACAAACGCAAGAGAAGTTTCTTGTCGTTTGGGATAAATGGATAAAATTTATACAATTTAGATTGGGTACAAAAAAATATTATATAGCTTTTTCATAATTTTTATCTTTATATATAGAGAGATATATATACTTATATATATATATTAATGTTACTTATAGATATTATATAAATTTTTTAACTTAATTTTTTATTTGTTAATTTTCAATTAAGCCTATATTCTGCTCTGGGAAGCTCAGGGGGGGGGGAAGGGAGGGTTTATGGTGAGGGGTGGGGGATGGGGGGTTTTTTTATATGTAATGTTTAGGTTTTTTTTTTTTTTGTATATGTTGTTTTCGTTTTGTATTGTTTTTGTCTTTTTGTAAAATTTATAAAACTTTCAATAAAAAAAAAAAAGTGGCCAGAAAACGCAGTTTGGGGGCTGTACAGGTAGTGCTTGACTTAAGATCACAACTGAGCACAAAATTTCCATTCCTAACTTAGTTGTTAAGTGAGTTTTGCCCCATTTTATGACCTTTCTTGCCAGTTGCTAAGTGAATCAAGTTGTTAATAATGGTTGTTAAATGAATCTGGCTTCCCCATTGACTTTGCTTGTCAGAAGATTGCAAAAGGTGACTACATGACCCTGGTCATTGCAAAGGTCATAAATATGAACCAATTGCCAAGTGTCTGAATTTTTATCATGTGCCCATAGGGATGCTGCAACAGTCATTAAGTGTTAAAAACTGGTCATAAGTCATTTTTTTCAGTGCGGTTGTAACTTTGAATGGTCACTAAATTAACTGTTGTAAGTCGAGGGTTACTTATATACTACAGTAAGGGATCAGTGAATTAAGGATTTCTAGGGGAAAAAGTTGCTAGTGCGTAATGGTTTTTAATAGTAGCCACAGTATTAGGATCACTTGCCCTGGGAGAAAAAAAAAGGGGGGGGGAGGAAAGAAAAGGAATGGAGAGGAGGATGGAAGAAAATAATCACTAATTCTTCTCAGATGACTCCAATTTACAGACTCACACACTCTCGAGGCTTATAAGGAATGAACATTACAGTAAGATTATAGGGCAATAAGGGGGTCAATGGATGGGAGTCAAACTGCTCTCCTGAGCATCGCACCCATTTTCATCTCTTCCTCCCTCGCCCAGGCCCGGTTGCGCCCTCACCCGCTTGTTGCGGTCCGTCTCCCTCACATCCTCCTCCTGGGGCCCCTGCCGGATGAGCGCCCGCACGACAGCGGCATTGTTGGTACAGCAGGCGCGGAAGAGACTGAGCTGCTGCTCGCTGTCTGAAAGTTCCGATTCGTCCTCGTCGGTCTCTTGGGGCGGGTAGAAAGAGTCGTCTGAAGTGATGCTTCGCGTGTCCGGGAGATCCGAGAAGTCTTCATACTCCTCGTCCTCCTCCTCCTCCTCCTCTTCGCCTTGGCCCTCTCCGCGCGCTCGTTCTGCGGGGATGATTGGGTCAATCCTAGAGCCGCCGCTACCACCTGGACTCACTCCCCCTTCCGCCTTCGCGGCTCCTGGCCCTCCTTGCAACTGCTTCTCTGCGGTGGGGGTCCGGCTTTCTCGGCCCTCTTTCCTACTCCTGGAGAGAAGAACCATCGTCGCTTCCCGCCAAGGGATGCGCGAGGTCCCGAGTTCTCGCCTCCTTATAGCGATTGTCTCCCGAAGTCAAAGGGCGCCCGGGTAATCCCGCGCCTCCCGCCCAGTTGCATAAATCTCTATGGATAAACGTAGAGATCCAGCGGGAATGTCCAGGAGGAAAGAATGAGGGTTGGGTGGCAACATACAGTCATCCTCGCACCTTAGCTGAATAACTCTGACCATTTACAGCAAAGTCACGCTTAGGGGGGGGGGGACTCCTATAAAGTAGTGCGTAAAGAAGGCGGAGTGAGGAGAGGCAGATTAATGTTAAATTCACAGTACAGTAAATAATTGGACTTAGGAAAAAAGTAGGTCCTTCCGTATACAGGACCCTTTCCTTTACACACGGAATAGAAAACCCAGCTCAAGGGAGAAAAGAATCCACCACATGTATCATCCCAGCACAATCATCTTACGATAGGAACGAAAAAGAAAAGAACCCGGTCCTGCCGCAATGATTTTCCGAAAACTTTTCCCCGTATATTTAACTTGAATCTTGATGGCTGGAAATTCTGATCGAATCTACCTGTCCTCCCCCAGTAAATCGCGGAAGTGTCTTCACCACGCAAAAGTCCTTTTAAATGCAAGTCCTTCCCTGACCCCGCAGTTAAACTTCTGTAAAAGTAAAAAGCGGGAATGGAAATTTCTTCTCACATTTATTGGAACTGGCCGCAAGGTGCGTAAGACTCAGTCTAATTCTAAGACTTTCCAGAATTTGAGAGAAGTCGCTTCTTGTCCGAGTCACCGGATAGCGTTCAAACATTACGCTTGCTGCATTTGCTTCCGATCTGCTAACGCTTTCGGCAACGTTAGTAAGATGTCACGAGATGCCTGCCAAGAGTTTTTCCAACGGGAAGCTCCAGAGTAGGTTTTCTGAGAAGAGATTAAAAAAAAAAAAAAAAACACCCAAGCAAGTGATTTGCTGGCAAGCAGCGGCAACAGTTATTTGCTTGCTTACTTGCTCGTTCCCATCCTTATTAGCTTGGGGTGGAGAATTGGCAGAAACTGGACAGATGCTATCTATAATAAAATAACAATAATACACTTTCAAACTCCGAATTCCAGGGCTGCCATGTCTTGTGTATAAAGTCTCGGCACTCTCGACTTTTAAAAAAAAAAAAAAAAAACACTTCGCAGGCAGAAGTGTTTTTCCCGCAGGAAAGAAATTGCAAATGGTTCGAGTTTCTTCTACAACACTGGCTTGCGGCACTGGGAATAAAATATTACCGAAGCAATCCTCAAAGAAAGTTACTTGGATTAGTTTTATTGAAGGGATCGCAGAAGCTGAGAACAGTTTTTCCATACCGCCACTTCAAACAATCCTGCATTGTTTTGCAACCCCCTTTAGCCATTCAAGGTCGATAAAGGGAGTGAAAAAGAAGCAGCGATTGCCAATACAGCTACCGATCATCCTATTGCATAACGTTACATTAGGCATATTGCACAAGTAAAGAGTGCAGAAGAGGGCAGAGCCACTGACACATTGAGAAAAATCCTGCAATCATGACTCCTAATCGGATCAGCAGAAGGTGAAAACTCGAGTTTAGCATGTTGACATCAGGCACATTTTTGCAACTATAATCCAGGTTAGTACGGAGACTGTACGCCTGAGATTTAAAAAAAAAAATGTAACCGAGAGGTCAGCCATAACATTTCTGAACACCTTTAATTCCCAGGCTTCTACATCCGTTCTTAGAAATGCCTCACACTCAGGACACCAAGTGTGATAAAAGCAAGCAGCGAAAGTTTTAAAATAGGTTTAAAAGCGTTATTTAAAATAATTTTGAAAGGATCCCGTGGAGCTTGCAGAGAAAATGACTAAACTGGGACAAAATACGAATGCCCTCACATTTATGGATACAACTTGAATGTTTAAAATAGGTGGCTAAGAAGCTAAGGAATGGAAAATCCACCTGCTAATAGCAATCACTCTGCCCAGAAAGTGACATGTACTGTATTCACATCTGAAGTAACAAAGGCCTTTAAAGCATGGCTTTAATTATGGAAAGGTTAATTCTTTATTAAGCCTGATAAAGAAGTTGGAATAGAATTCATGTGCCTTGTAGCATTTTTTAAAACTAAAACAATAAAGAAGCTAGAAGTGTATGCAACTTTTCAGAAAGACAACCGTGTGATTAAAAACTTAAGGGGAACAAATGGCTTTGTTGCAAGATAGCTGTTCAAGCACAACTATTTAATAGGATTATAGTTTTAGGTTCCAGTAATCTGTTCTAGTCATGCTGCATTTGAATGATCTATCTTTAGTACAGTGTCTGTCAATAATCCAGTATGTAGGTTTTTCCTGCAAACTGGCATAGATGCTTATTTTCTCTACTGCTCCTCAGAAATGACAGAAAGCAATTCTCACTAATGTACAAAGCATATTGTATATTAATGACTATTATTCAAGAAGCTGCTGAACTTGGATCAGGCAATTATTGGTATTTAATAAGTATCCCCTTGAAAATATTTGATGGAATATAATCATAACTGATTTTAAAGGAAATGTGGGGAAAAATCAGTATTTGGGTTAAAATTCAATATGTCTAGCCAACAATTGCCAAACTGCGGTCTACTAAGGGGTCAATAACAGCCTTCTCAGATTTAGCAGACTGGGCCTACTTGCTCCTGAGCCTTCTGTCTCTTCCTGTTTATCACTGTTGGTTCAGCTGGCCAGGCCCTCTTGACAACTCAATGACTGCCTCCCATGTTCCCTGCCTGCTAGCCAGCCAAACCCTGCTCACTATTTTGAGTCCCTGCTTACCAACAGTTAGCTGTTTCTTGAGAATCTTAAGGTCTGAATGGTGGGTGTTCTTTGTAGAGACTCTCCAACTTCAAAACAGTCTGCCATATGATAGGAAGGTAACTCCTATTCTGGTGGATTTCCAGAAGCTTGTGAAAAACCTGGCTTTTCTAGGGAGGCTTTGGAAGATTAATTCTGAATGGAACCATCAGTGCAATAATGCTTTTACATAAATTGCATCAATTAATATTTGCAGCATTGTTGTTTTTGCTCTGTAATTGGATTGTATAAAATGCCCGAGGAGGTAAATTGATCTGAAAAATAAATTAATAAATAGGATCAGTGGCCAAACAGAGAGTTCACTGAAATGTACTGTATATGTGTAAATACAGATAGCCATGTAAATGTTAACATTCAGAAAATTGATAATTGTGACCTAAGCCTTAAATGCATTTACTGACTCTAAATACACATTTGCTACGCTGGACCAGTAAATTTGTTCTAAAAATTGGTAAAGGGTTCATAAAACAATACTTAATTTTGGATTTAATATTTTGGTACTGATTTTAATTAAAAAGCCTTTAAATATGAAGACTATGAGAAAGTCTAGATAAATGCAGATATAATAATCATCTTGCCAAGCAACATGGATTCAGATGCTGACAAAGTTAAAAATATAGGTGGGGTGTGTGGGTGGGTGGGTGTTGAAGTGGATGATCACATTTCCCAAAATATTATTTTATGATCCATAAAAACAGAAGGTTTGCCTGGACCTGTTACCAGGAGTCATAAGTGACTCGAAGGCACACACAAGAAAAGTACTATCTAGTTAAAGAGTTTTGATAATTTCTTGTTCCTATTTTTTCTTTAAGTAAATCAAACCATGCCCACCAACTGAATGGAGAGTTGTTCGTTCCATGTAATTCTATAAATTCCTTTAAGGGAGATATATATTTAACAATTAAACGAACACCTACACCTACTATATTAAATGAGATTTCTATAATTAAATGTCTTATTTAATAATATCTTTCAAAATCTATTTGATGGAAAATATATATTTCAATACCGTAAATCTTGATGTTAATGATATAAATTTTCTGAAGATCTGTTAGCAAACAAATAACTGTTCAAATAATTCTGCTAAATCCAAAGCAGTTCGTTCTAGCTAAATCTGATAATACGCAAACGGGTCTGTGAAACCGTTCCTTCCTTCATTATTTTTTTTTTAATTATATCTACAGGCTATTCAGGAAGCATGTTTTGGTTACTATATATTATTTAAAAATTACAACTATGCTGTTAGATTTGTAGTCCACTTTTATTTTCACTTGAAACCCAAAAGATCTTTAACTGACAGAATTATTTCTATCAACATGACAATTCCATGTTTACCTTTTCTAGTTATTTACCGTATGTGTTTTCCTAATCAAAAAGGGCCCATACATTCTAATGAACTTTTTAAGATTTTAAAGTAAAATGTGTCTTTTTTAAAGTCTGCCATTACATTTATTCACTATTTTTTTTCCTTCTGTTCAATTGTGTCCAGTTCTCACAGCTACCTGGACAAATCCCTGCAGTTTTCTTTGGAAGATTTTTCAGAAGTGGTTTGCCATTGCTTCCTTCTTAGGGCCCAGAGAGAGAGTGACTAGCAGAAGTTACCTGATTTTGTGTCTAAAGGGTATTAGAACTCACAGTCTCCAGGTTTTAGCCAATGCCTTAACCACTACATTAAAATGGCTCTCAAAAATCAGATTCCCTTGTATAAAATATATAATAAAAATATTCAAGTAATAGATCACTTTCACTGTGCAATTCTTAATTTATTTACTCAAGTAATTCCCATTAGGTTCAAAGTAAGACTTTAGGTATACAGAGTCTTTTAATGATGCTAAATTAATGAGTAAAATAATTTTTCTGCCTCCTTTGTTTCAACCTTGTATTTTTGCTGACATCTGTTCTTGAGAATTTGTATATCACAGGACATATTGGAGCTGTAACTGAAGAAGAGAAGAGAATTAATGGCAAGCTCTTGTCCAACAAGGAGCAGAATTGTCTTCTATGTTAGATTCTTAATAGACTCATATCAGTCTATTAAGTAAATCAAGTAAAAAAAATCAAATGTAAATGTGAATTTTTTAATGAGGTGGAAATAATTGGACAGCAGGCCTGTAGTGAATAGATAGAGTTTTGAGGGGATTTCTAGGTATCACACTGTTAAAACCGAGATGGGGAAAAAAAGAAAAAGTCATTGCTGAGTGTTTAAGTCTTAGCTTAAATCTTAAGGTATGCAAGACAGGCAAGGACACCGTATAAGCCAGGCAGACTGCCATAGAAAGGAAGCTTCTATATCTTCAACATCTTGTTGCTACAAGGAGACAGAGCGCTTTGCAGGACCAGCAGCAAGTTTGATAAAGTGAGACAAGCCTTCCTGGCAAAAGGCTCCTCGATGGATCCTCTCTTCCATCAGAAGGTGCAGGGACTCCTCTCTGAGCGTGATGACAAGCAAGAATAGAACCAGATAGCCAGAAACTGCCATTTTACTTTCCCACAATGCTCCACATAAATAGTACATTTGGGCATTCTGGGAAATTAAAAACATAACCTGGAGGGGAGTATTTTTCTTTTCCTTTTATGTTTCTGTAGGTTTTTTTAATCTTGTGTAAATTGTTCTTTTAATAAAAATTATATTAAACAACAATTATATTAAACAACAGTATTTCTTTTTCTAGTAAGATAAGGAAAGAATAGACTCAATTTACTACTCTTACTCGTATCTAAGATTCATGCAACATTTTCTGCTAACAATAGAGATATAATACTTTAGCCCGTATAAAACTGACTATGCAAACGAGATTAAGTCAGGAAAACAAAAAAGATTTACATTTGCCCTTTGCCTTTAAGGCCAGTCATGGCCCCACATGCCACAATAGAAAATCTCGCAACAACAATTAAAATACTATATCCAGTCTAAAGAACATAGAAGCAACACTTTCTCATACAAATACCAACACACCAGTAGCAGAAACATATACAAACTCACTAACTCATAACCCCCATTTGCCAACTGCCCCCAGGAATGCATGCTATTGTCACTGTTGTTACTGGGCCAATAAACAGAAACTTCCTTTCCAACTGTAACTGCCTCAAACTTATTTCTCCCTGCATTTCTCTCCTGGCTTGGAATAAGATATGGACCACATTTAACTTCCAACACTACTGTAGATTTTCAAGGATATCTGATACCTCAAAAAGTCTCAGCAATAAGGCAACTTCTAACATTAATTAAAATAATTACAGCAGAATATGTTTATTTTATGAACACCCAGCTGACTACAAGCTGTATTTGCTTCTCAGTATAACAGGCCTCTGAGGAGGGCTGGGCGGCAGAAATCATTCTAAATCAGGGGTGTCAAACTGCTGGCCCACGGGCTGGATGCGTCATGCCGGAGCAAATCTAAGGAACAGTAGAGGGCTTCACTTTGGAATCCAGGAGAGCTGATATTCAATTTGTAATTTATTTTGACTGTACTAGAAATGTCAGTTTCTCTTATTTCTGTCTGTAAAAGTAAAACATTTTGTTATGACATCAAACTCGGGTCAAGATTTACTTTTCTCATTTCATTTCTTGGGAACTGTTCCTCTTCTGAGACTAATTAAATAACAATCTTATGGTCTCCTGAGAGTGGTGCGTGTATTGCTTTGCCAGTCAGATTTCCTGTGTTTCAGAGTTTGTTGAAATAAAGCTTGCCTTAGAAGGCTGCATTATATAAATTATTTTATTTTTCTCAACTTTACCCTTTCATGACCAATAAAGAAGTAAGGAGAAAGATCTGATCTCTCAGAATCACTGGCATTAGGAAGAATTTATTATGTCTAAACCAGACATGTCAAACTCGCAACATCACATGACATAGCGCAACGTATTGGGATGGTTTTGCCATTGCCGGCAATGGGGTGGGTGCGGCTTCCAGATGACGCGTCCAGCCCACGGGCCAGCATTTGTCATCCCTGGAAACAATAGCATGGCGATCTTTATTTGGAGGAAAATCAAACAAATTTTATTGGTTCAAGCAGCTCCAATCTTCAAAAGGTTTGGAGGAAACAATAATGACATAATTACTAGTATTTTTCTTAAGATTCAAGTCATCACTGTTGGTTCTCTTCTATAAAATGAAGATCTTGAGAACTTCTTAAAGTGGGTCAAATTGCAGGGTTCTCTATAGCCTCTTTATTTCAATCTATTAAATATCTGGAACTTATCTGCATTTGGATTGCTACTAGGAGAAATTCCAATGCAGATTGCTGCTTTGCTTTAAGAAAACAAATCCCTTGACAGGTGTGGGGGCAACATTTCCAGATGTGGCTATTTCTGTTCATCATCAATTGCTTTGCCTACATCTGCTACATCCCCATTTGGGAAATTACAAAAGCATAAATATTATTCTGAAGTAGCAGGGAATCTTTAATATATTTTTCAGTGGCTAGTGTAAAACAATTAAAGAAAAGCAGAAATTAATTACATATTAATTACCCCCACTTAAACATTTATAGATGGGATACAGTATTCAGCAGTAAGACCTATCTATATATTCACCAATTGAAATTAATTACATTGGATTTGGAAATAAATTACAATTCCACTGGAAATTAAAAACAAAGCAACCTTCTGGTCAAGGATCTAACTAGATAGTACAATTGCGGAGGATTAAGGTAGACTGCTATAAATGTCGGTCTAAATCTACTTAGCATTTGAAACTTTGCATTGTTTGTAGAAATAAAATAGAAATCAATGTATTGTAGCGTGTACAATATTGAAGAAACCTTCTCAGAAAAGGCAGCCACCCTACATTGCAGCATTTTGTGCCAACTGAGGGGAATTTACACAGCCTCATCCTTCAAATGAGCTGGAAGCCAGTCATGATTATTTTCACTTTCGTTGACAGGACAGAATAATGCTATGCCAGCTAAGCCTTTATAGAACAGTTCAGAGAGAACTGCACTGAGGAAAGATTTCCCAAGTCAAAAAAACTCAGAAGCTCTGCAGAGCATTATCATTTCAACTAACACCCCCCCCAACCCCTGTTTTACTACAGTGTCAAATGAGCCTTAACCAAGCTAGCTAAAAATTGGCTCAACCGATGCTGTAAAAACTAATATAGATTCAGAGATGATTCTGAAGAGGCTTAAAGATTTCATTTGGAAATGCCAAACTTTGCTTTTTAAAGACAATTCTACATAAAGCATATGAAAGACAAACTTTAGACCAAGATGCTAGAGTTACACTTCAATAAATAGTTCAGGAGTAAAATGATCTCATTATGGACTGAAATGATGTTGTTGAGACCAATAATACAAAGGATTTGGGATGATCATCCCTGAGATAAGAATAATAGTATTAGGACTGGAATTATTGCTGAGATGAAATACCCAGGAGTAGATCTGAAGCAGTGGCATGCTGGAGCTGGCTCATGAAAGTGAATTGTTATTTTTTTCAGGAATTTCACAAGCTGCTTGAGAGCAGAGCTGAGTCATGATGCCTACTGTGCAGCTTGTGACATATGGTAGAAATGGAGCCGGTTGTTAAACATTTATTATCATGGCTTCTGAAACCAGAATAAAATGGACAAGCAAATACCTATCCGTTATGTAGTTCCCTTTTGAGCTGAACAATATTATGAAAAGTAGTGACCAAAAATTGATTAGTTGTAAATGAAAATTGGTGACAAAGTTACTTTTTCATCACTGTCATAATTGCAAATGGTTACTAAATGAGGATTATCAATACTCTCTTTATAGTTTGACTTAACTTCAGTATCTACTTAACAATTTACCACAATTGAAACAAGTAATAATTAAACTATATGATGTGGAAACATGGCAGCTTCCAAGGACCTACAATTTTAGCTTTTCTAAGAGATGCTGAACTTCAATGAAAATCAGCAATTCAGTTTTATAAAATGTTAAGTGAAAGTTAATTTTATTTATATATTTGATCTGTGAAAGGAAAAAACAAAATATTCATTTTTGGAAAATCAGTTGATTCATTTATTAAAATGAAGGTGGCGCAGCAGTTAGAGTGTAGTACTGCAGGCCACTTTAGCTGACTGTGTTCAACAGGTCAGCGGTTCAAATCTCACCGGCTCAAGGTTGACTCAGCCTTCCATCCTTCCGAGGTAGGTAAACTGAGGACCCAGATTGTTGGGGGCAATGTAAATATATACATACATTGCTTACTGGTGTACACCGCTTAGAGAGTGCTTGCACTTAAAGCGGTATATAAGTCTCATAAATAAATAAATAAAATAAATAAATAAATAAAATATACTTACGATTTAAAAATGAAATATTCTTTTGGGTCAATTATATCCCTCAAAGAGTGTATTAAAATAGATGAACAAAATGAGTGAAAATCAGATTTTAGACATTGGCAATATAAAGGTGCTTTTATTTTTTCAATCTTAGCTACTTTATGATGTGTGGAATTCTGGGAATTAAAGTCTGCACATCTTAAAATTGCCAAAGTTGAAAAAATGTTTTAACTTATATAATTTGATTAATATGTAAGTTAACAATTTTAGGACGAAATATTTATGGATCTCAATGTGATGTTGAATTATATTTCTAAAATGCGGAATTTTTTAATCTTATGAAGTTCTTTGGCTTAATGGAGTTTGGGGTACAGCAAAAAAGATAATCCTGTGTAATTGAAAAGAAAGACACTCCTTGATTTAAAGAATGAATCTAGCATATAAGTTGGTTATCTATTTTTGAAAGTCTTTGTGCTCTAAAAATAAGATGTAGCATTATGCTGCTACAGAATATGGTCCTGATTTAATAATTGTGACAATTAAATTCTCAATGAAAATAAGGGACTAAAAGAGAGCTAAAATTAAATACCAAACTAATAATAACACTCTTTGAGGGAGCCAAAGAATGGTGCATGCAAAGAAGTGCTGTTAGGTAATACAAATCACATGATAAATTAATACTTACATTTAAAGATAATAAAAAGCTCATCTCTACACTAATAAGGTCTGCCATGGGATTCTTTCCTGACTCATTCAGCTGAACTTTAACTTCCATCCTCCAAGAGACTATCGTTTAACATTTAAAATACATAAATAAATATTGTAGATAATTAGAAGGTATTTCAGCAGAAGATGTCATATATTCCATTCATTTGTACTTTTTTGGCTTGTTTTCTTTTCAAATTCATTTTGTGCCTGATATATGGTTCATGCTTAGTTCCCATTGATTTCATTAAGAGAATATTAATAACCCATATTAATATTCACATTGTATTAGTTATTCACAGCTCACAATGGGAATGAGCTTCCATTACTTCCTAAAGACCTTTTTGTATTACTCTTCTTCATATTGTTCTTTTTGTGCAGAAGTGCAATTTCCTCATCTCTAATTACCAAGTGCACTGAGAATATGATGATTGGGCACAAGTATATTGCCCATGTCAAAAATGCTATAATCAAAATAATATAATTCTCCATCTGCTGCACTCCAGATAGGTTGGCACCGTGACTATAGATATTTCTTGGTTTCTAACCTGGTGCTTTAAATGCTAGCTCTCTTAATATTAGATTATACACTGGTATGATAATGTAGTAATTCATATTTTCTGTTTGTCATGGCAGTATGTGCTGTGCAACTATTTTTGAGTCTCTCTCTCCTTGCACACACACACACAGAGACACATCCCAGGACTATGCTCTAGAAATCAGTGAATATAATTTGCGACTAAATTGCATTTTTAACAGGATGTGTTAAAAGGCTTGTATAAATGTTGCAGAGAAATACAATTTAAAGAGAAGCAATACAACATGCATTAATCATCTTTTTGAAAATACAGTCTCTGACTATTAATTGGCTTTCATTTATAGTCCAATAAGGGAAAAAATGCAAAAGTATATTAAGAATGGACATTGGTTAAGTAAAAATGGTTGCATTCATTCTCAAAAGTCTAGAGAAAAATTATAGGTTTTTTTGAGCATGTTTCTCAACAGTTAAAGAAACATATCACACGAAAACAGAAACCAAGCGTTAACCTTATTATTACGTAACTAGTGGAATTAAACCTGTTTAGATCTCAAAAATAAAAGAAATGAAGAAATACTTCTTGCCAATGACCAATTGCTTGTCTCACTTGCACTAATTTAGTCCTCCAACAGAGGGCGTTCTTAAGAGGGCGACCTTCCGCTTCTCTCGCGATCGGGCGTAGCTAGGAAATATCGCGAGATTCCACCGCGGAAGCTTTGATCGAGATTTATTAGTTGTTGAAACTGCCATCCGTTTAAAAGTGCCTTTTTTAAAATCAACGGTCGATGGTCTCCTAGACAACTTCGTTAAGAATGATTCTCTTTATCCAGCGAATCAAGGTTCAAAGTAGGACGTTACCTCGCCAGAAGTGAAGATGGTGTCACCTCTGAATTCGGGCGAAATTGAAGCGAGAGTGCCCTATTCCAAAATGGCTGCCGAGACAGACAGCCCGGTGGAGAAGAGTCTTCTTTCGTTTTCCCTGTGGTTTGGGACCCCGGTAAGGTTCCCTTCGAACGACGGTTGGTCAGGGTCCCAGAGGGGAACTGGCTTAACCCTCTGCTCAGGGACGAGGAAGAATGGACATTCAGCAAGAGCTTTTATTCACTTGCGTGCAACAAACTCTTTCTGAAAAAAACTTTGGTTTACCATGAGACGGTTAGGATTTACTGCATCCTTCGGTTGCCATCAGCCGGATTTTTACAGCTCAGATAAGGCAGTTCTACTACATTGGGCCCACTCGTGTGATTTTGCAATAATTAAAGTTACTATACACAAGAGAGGCAGTTTGGCGTAGTGGTTAAGACACAAGGCTAGAAACCAGGAGTTCTAGTCCTGCTTTTGGCACAAAGCCAGCTGGGTGATCTTGGGACAGTCACACTCTCAGCCCTAGAAAGGAGGTAATGGCAACCCCCCCACACACAACAAACAACAGAGGGCAGCACGTAACCAGAAGTGGAGGATGATCTGAAAACTAAGGATAGGGCGTGGGTAGGACTACTTAGATGGGACAACACCAGGAATCATAAGGGCATATATATAAAGTAAACATGGAGGGCAAACATTCCTGGAATTAAGCACTGGCAAACCACTTATGTATTGCTGCCAAGAAAACTACCTCAGTTTTCATCAGGAGTTCAGCTCATCTTAGAGGAATCTTTATCTGTTAGTGTTTGTTATCTATTCTCTGCCCTGCTGTACTTCAAGAAAGTTTAATCTCTTCCTGAATAATTTTTTAAAACATTTCGGGTGAAGGCGGAGTGAGAGGAAAAGAGGCTGAGAATAAGGAGATGCTCTTGAACACGTCATTTAGTTAGCAGAGCTGGAACTTGCTTTCTTTGTTTTCTGGAAGACAATTTTTCTGCTAGCTTTAATATTTATTTTTAGGGTATAGAGATTGTGCCTGCAAATTGTTGTTGACTCCTTGGAAATGCCTAGACTAGTTCCTGCAGATATCTTGGCAAGATTTTGGAAATGGCTTGCCATTGTCTTCTTAGTGCTGAGAGTGACTGGCCCAAAGTCACTTAACAGTCTTCGTGTCTAATAATATTCTTAACTCCTGTTTGTCCCACAACAGCAGCCTTATAGAGCAAGTTGGACCAAGAGAATGATTGGCTCAAAGCTTTCATCCTTAAAGGAGAACTAGAGCTTGCAGTCTCATAGTTTTAGTTCAGCACTGTTGAAGGAAAAATCTTCATCAGGGTCCAGTCCAAGCTGGGAATAAACACAATGGAGACTGCTTTAGAAAGGTTGCAGTTTATTGCAGAGGAGAGCCAGACAGAAAAATAGCTCTGAGAAAAACTGACCACATGTAGTAGGGAATGGTATTTTTACGCTCTTGGGCTTTTATTTGGAGTTGTTCCTGTGGCATGAACTTTGACCTGAGTCTGAGTGTGCTTTTCTGGTATTCTGATGGTGATGGGTTAATCCTATTATGTCCCAGAGGTCATATCCTGCTTCCCTGGGGTTATGGCTGATGACTGTTGAATTTTTTTGATGTGAAGGATTGTTGATTCTATGAATCTTCCTTTCTAATCCCAGCTTTCTGACTCCAGTCTTTCTGACAAGATTATCACATCTGCATTTCTGCAGACCTGGTTTCTGTTTGGGGCAGAGAGACTAGGGGGAGGGGATTGGTTTCTACCTTTTTTAAGATCTCCATTATTCCTTTGGGGAAATATATTCTGCCTTTTTAATATTCCCCAAAATATTTCTTTCTCTGGATTCTTAATAACTTAATCAAATGAGGTATGGGGAAATGAAAAATAGAAAATCGTGTTTTGTCAAACGCGTCTACTAAAGACTTGTCACTGTGCTTCATGCTACAACCTATTTTCTTTTTCTGTAGAGTGAGAAAGTGACCTGTCCCTATGATGCTAATCATCAAATGCCTAAATCTTCTTTGGAGAAACATATGATATCCTGTAGATTGAGGAAACTTGAATATTCTAAAGAGGAAGAGGTAATGCTTTGCTGTTTTTTCCCTTTTAAAAAAGTTATTCATTTTTTGCGGATGGAAAGAAAACATTTTCTCTTTTGAAAACAAGGGTGGCGGACACCCATCTAGATGGACACAAGACTATTTATTTTCTCTAAATTTATTATGCAAAATATCTGTTAGATCTCCATTAGCAAATTAACACAGATAACTAAAATGAAAGTTATGGATAAGCAATTTGAAGGCTATTCTATCCCACAGCTCATTGAGACTTCCCACCCCACCCTGTTCACTTTCTTCTAATGCCCAGCTGATGGGGGAGAAAGTTTGATAGCTGCTAATGATAAGTTTTAGAAAAGACTTTCAGTAGTCCCAGAAACTTGCTTCCATGAACCAGGTTCTAATTTGGTATATTGTGACTCATTTTTACATCCAGACACATGACTGGATTATAGGCAGTGTTTGTTTTGTTGTTCCCTTTGATTTACTCTTCACAGTTCTTTTACTCATTCGAGCACATCTGCTAGTTTCAGCAAGTGTTTTCGGTTACTTTTTTAAAGATAAAGTTTTACTTTAAATACTTTCCACAGTTCTGTTGATAAGGTTATTGCAATCTTAGATCAGGGGGAAACACCATGATTTCTGCGGAAACCATTATACTATCTTAGCGCCCATGGATCTGATATCACCTGTTGTTTGTTAAATAAAGATCAGTAAAAGGAGTTTCTAACACAATCTTTACTGGTAAGAATTTCTTGGTTCCATAAAGGCCATACATGTTGGCATATAAAATTAAAGTTCAACATTGCTTAAAGAGGCAATGATCACCTTGCAAAGCCATCCATAGATCTGTTTTGGACACCTTTTTTCTTGTTTCCAATCTTCTCATTTTAGGGAGGATGATTGAGAAGGTGGTTACCTTGCCCCTTCAGAGGGATCTGAATGAAGTGGAATTCCAATAGATTTCAGGGTTGGGTATGTGGACTGAAATGGCATTGGTTGCACTTGTGGATAATCTCTAGATGGAACAGAATAGTGGTAGTGCGATTGTCCTAGCTCTGTTTCATTTCTCAGTGGTTTTTAATACCATCAAATATGATACTCTTCTGGCTCTGCGAGTTAGACATTGGGGGCATGGTGTTGTGGTGGTTCTCTTCTTTCAGAATTGATTACAGTAGGAGATAGAGGTCTGCCCCATAGCCCCTCTTGTGTGGGGTGCCACAACTGTCTCCCCACTAATGTTTAACATCTGCATGAAGCCACTGGGTGGAGTTCATGTGTTGGTACAATATGAGGTATCATTAATATGATAACAACATTCAGCTGTATATTTCCACCTCTGGTCAGCCTTGGAAGCTGTGGGGTCTGGATTGGGAAGAACAAGTTTGAACTCAACTCCAAATAAGATGGTGGTTTTAGGGTTGCCTGGATCTGGAGAGTTGTACTGTGCACCAATACAGTGAAAAATTATAAGGGGAATGTGAACTGCACATGGCTCTACTACAGTTTTGGAGCTCAGGTGTCAATTTTAAAGATCTGCAAGATGATTTATGAGACTGAATTAGGAAATTGAATATTTTATCAGGGAAGTCTAATAAAGGGGGCTTGTTTATCTGCTATTTTTATCTCTTTGAATTTTCTATTAATTTCAGAGGTGGCTGCTCAATTACTTTTCCAATTGCTAGTATTATTTGACATATATTTTGTCTCCTAGGCTGAAATGTATGATTCTACTTTTTTCTATGAAAAAGGCAAAATTCCTAAAGTTAAAATGGGTGAGTATGAATGTTATAATGAATGTAAATACTAAAGTATCAGTATGGATATATGTTTAAGAGGTATCTACAGGTGGTGGTTTTGGATGGCCTGTATTTATAGCTGTGTGCAGCATTCCACAGGCATGTGACCATGGTTTGCATTTTTGTTTTGCTGTAAATTATTGCTTATTTCCAATTTCTAGCAAAAAAATAATAATCACCCATTGCAGGCAATGAATTTGCAGCATTTGTTTAATAAATGTGGTGATTCACTTAACTATTGCCACAAAAAAGTCCTAAACTCAGGTGTGGTCATGTCAAATTACATTTTTAAATGCTTTTATTTTCAAGGCTTGGAATCACCATCTACAGAGGAGCTAGTTGTATTGTAAAAGAGACAATTGTTTATTTTTTATAATGCTTAACAATGATAGTTAAATAAGTTACAGTTAGCTGCCTCATAATAAGTGAAAACCAACACCCCAATAGATAGATAAATAGATAAAAACACTGTGACTTAACATGATATATGAACCATGTTAGTTTGTCTACCTCAAGACTTGTGTTTTCAAAATCTGTTAATTTTGTTTCTCTTGATTTTATAAGATTCAAAGAGTCTGGAATATTAGAAATGACTGGAGGAAAAGAAACACATGATTTCCAGTATTACAAATGTCTGGGTATATTGTTAACATTGCTCAGTACCGTACAACTGTAGCCTCTATTTTTCAGGCACTACATTTAATGATTACAAAAGCATTCTTAACATTCCTATGTTCTCTTTTATTTTGCTGCAGACAAAGATTTGCAATTTGACATTATTAAAAAAGCCACGGCCAAAGAGAGTGGAAATTATTGCCCAGGTAAGTGAAAGCCCACAAACATCCACTTGATACAGAAACTGTGGTACTGACTGAGATTATGTACACAAATTTGATTTTTATTTACTTGCCTTGCTGCATATGCTGAATAAATGATCTGATATAAACAATTCCTCTTATTGCATATCTCCTTTTTTCTTCTCTGGGAACTTACTAAAACATTTGTTTTTATGAGGCTCAGTCACTCTGTTTTGCCTACATGCAGCCTAATTCCTAACAGAGGAGTCATTCTCATTGGCAAATGCAAAGTGGGGACTATGATTTTAAATATATTGTTAGCCCTGCTGAGACAAGTAGATGTAGTATAAAAACAGTGAGAAGACCAGTTTTATATATACAATAGGACAAGAAAACTATGTTTAAAATAGAATAATAGAATAGAATAACTTTGTCACTTTGAATGTACGCTTTGAATGTACAGTCTTCACCCCATCCCCCAGATTAAAACTCCTTTCTTAGCCAACTGCCAGTTTGTCCTGAGTAAATAGCCTTTTTGACTCTAATTACAGTAGTAATAGATCAAATGTAGTTAGTAGCTTCAGTGGAAACTCCACAAATTGCCATCAGTCTGTATCAGGCCAATTGCCACATAAAACTTCAGAACATTGCTATTTGTGTTGGTTTTGATTGATAGAATCAACCTGTTCTCACATTTTAGGAACTTACTCATCTCAGCCTGTGGAAGTTCCACAAAACCACAAGCGTTACATCTGTGATCTGACCCAAGCTGACCGCCTTGCAATTTACGATTATGTCCTTGTAGAGACAAAGAACCAGAGGTCAAGATCTCAACTGACAGAAAATGACAGTGATTTGTTTGTAGATTTGGCAGCAAAAGTCAACCAAGGTCTGGAAGAAAATTTTACAGCTATGCTTTGTATATCTAAAAATTACAAAACATGTAAAATGTCCCTTGCTGAGGGGTCCTTTTTTCTGTTTAAGTGGGCTGCTAATATTAACCCCCTCCCCCATTTTCTTACAACACTGGCATTCCTAGATTAATGAACTTGAATTAAAATTAATGGGACACAGATTGTCCCGAACTGCACCCAGGAGCTATTGCCTGTCAGCAGCAGCAGATGATTAACCCCTTTACTCCAGATTGCTGTCACATTAGTGACATTAATTTGCTTCACTTGTTATCTTAAAAAACACCTAGTAAAAGTGGTCTAGATTACAGACATTTGCTGAAATTATTTATCATATGTGGTCCTCTTTTTTACTTCTATTACTAAATAATCCACTGGAATTATTGTTTATAACACAGCGTACTTTTTACCCTTTTTTTAGATGATGGCCAGAAAGGTCCAAAATCTCACCTTGAAATTCTTGCAGAGATGCGGGATTATAAAAGGCGGCGGCAATCGTACAGAGCTAAGAATGTTCACATAACAAAGAAATCTTACACAGAGGTTTATATGATTTGGGAGTCATTTTATCTCGAAATATTTTCTTCCAATTTAAAAGCATCTATGTATAAAATACTTTAAATAGGCAGGAATATTTAAATTCACTGATTTTCCAAAAATATTGTTGAATTGAGGCTATCGGTGTGTACATTCTGTCATTGTATTAATATATTGCAATAGGATGAATTTGCCTGAACGTAAAAAGTTTATAACCCTTGAATACTTGGTGTCAGTTATTGTAAGATTCAGGTTTACTGTAGTTCATATTTGTACTATTGCCAGTCCATTGGGATGGTTAACTATAGCTAGCATATGGCAAAAAATAGGAAAAATATTTGGGTGGATAAATGTAGTACAGGCCTAGTGACCTTCTTTCAAACATTTGTTTTATAAGCTAGTTTTAATATTTAGCTCTTTATTCGCTCTAAATATTGAAATCTTTCATTTCAATTTATGTATTTTAATTGCTTAAGATGATTCTAATGCATTAACAATATTAACAAGCTACATTACCTTGCCATATGCTTTTTTCCCTTTATGTTTTATATTGGGCCAATTACTTTACATAATCTTATAACAATTGGAAAACATTGGTAACCAAAAAGAGGGAGAGGGAGAAAGAAATGGGTTGAAGGAATGAATGTAAGCAAACTCCTCATAGACCATAGGGACTTATGCATAAGGAGGTTTTCCATCTGAGTATTATTATTGATGTGTGCCGTTGTGCCCACAATAAAAAAATGACAATAAAGGTTATCTTATCCAGTATGTTCTGGCATACCTTAGTGTTTTGTCTAATTTCAGTGTTTCTGATTTTACTCAGGTAATCAGAGATGTGATTGGTGTACACATGGAAGAACTTACCACTCATTGGCAGGAAGAGAACAGAAATACTGAGGTTCATGAAGATGAAAAATCCTCTTTTTCAGCAAAGTCTTCAGGAAGGTATTGTCATTGCCAAATCTTTGCTGTTTTCTAAATTGGCAGTAATTTAAGAAATTGTACTTTTTGTTCCTCTGTTAATTCAAATGAAACTGTAATTAATGACTTGCAGATTAGGACTGCATATCATGGTATCATGCTATATCCAGTATCCAGTGTAGTTTACTTTGTCTTTCCAGTGCCTATCTCCTTTAGTGATGTTATTGATTTTATATTTTGTAAAAGTTTTAGAACATCTATTCTTTCTGACTTCATTGCTTAGAATTGGATTGTTGGCCAGTTATTGACAACAGATAAATTGTCGTTTGATAGTTGTGAAATAATCAAACGACAATAATCAAAGAATGCATTTATGAGAAGCAGAGCTTTGTTTAAATATTGTGTCATGGCAAGTGGCAGAAGCAGGTTGTCTTTGCAAAGCACAATGGCATTCAAAAAACAGGGTCAAATATCACATTAAAAATAATGGCTTCCTTCTTGCAGTATTTTACAGAAAGATTGTTCATAACTCAAATTTTATTAGAAACACAACTTAGTGCACTATCTACCTTCTTAAGCACTGGCATCTTTAAATGGAAATACAACATTCAAATGAAACTATGGAGCACGGTAGTGGACATTTCCCTCTATTTCCCCTTAACTGTGGTGCAGCTGAGATCTGACAACAATGGTGATGCAATAATTTCAGCTGGGTTATGTTTTAAAGCTCAGTGCAACTAATTGTTTTGACATCAATGGCATTCTTCACTGAGAAAAATAAACATTCATTCCCACTCCCAACATTAATGACCAAGACCACTGCTATGACATAATTACTGTATTTTCTTTAGTAAAGAAGAACGAAGATCTGCATCAGCCGATTCAACACAGTCTTGTGGAAGTTCAAAAGATATTGATTATTCTCGACATAGGAGGAATTCCAGCAGAAGTCCAGGCCGACGGAAAAGAAGTCGAGAAAGAGAAAGAGAGAGAGATTCCAGAAGGAAAAGAGATAGGTAAGTAGTGTCTTTAGTTTCTGACTTTTGTTGAACTAGAGCAGGGGTAGGCAACCTTGGCTCTTTTATGACTCGTGGACCAACTTCCAGAATTCCACGAGTCATAAAAGAGCCAAGGTTGCCTACCCCTGAACTAGAGTAATGATACATCACAGGCTGGGATTGTAGAACATGCTTAAAACTTATTCAGCGTTAATTTGTAGAAGAAAATTTCACAGTAATTTTCATTCAGCTATTGGCTTTAAGTCTTCCTATACTTGCCCAAGATATTAAATCAAAAGCTGTATCAAATTAGTAATGATACCAGAATCAATACACTCAACCATATACTTTTTTTAAAACAAAAGTTGATTTCATAATAACCAGCATAATCTAAAAGAAATAACAATATGGAGTTCTATATATCATAATTTCTCATATTTCAAAGAAAGTACTTAAAAAATCCTGACATAAAATAAGTAAAAATAAAAAAAATTCAAAACTGGACATTGGTTTCCTAAGTTGACTATTACATGAATTTATTCCTGTCTTCTTACTTCAATTGGCATATAACATAGGCCAGTGATGGCAAACCTTTTAGAGACTGAGTGCCCAAACTGCAATCCAAAACCCACTTATGCATCGTCGAGTGCCGGGTGGGTGTGGCCCATTGGGTGGGCGTGGCTGCAGTGGTAACGGCAGACTGGGTGGGACTAAAAAGTTCAATCAATTCCAACTTTGCAAGATCTTTTTTTTTCCCGTGAGAAGTTGAAATTGACTGATTGAACTTTTTTTTTTTTGCACACGGTGGCGGAGGCCTAAAGCGAAAAGATTTTATAAAACCCAGCTGAAGGACTGGGGCAACGGCGCGCATGCCCACAGAGAGGGCTCTGAGTGCTGCCTCTGGCACCTGTGCCATAGGTTCGCCACCACTGATATAGGCAGTGAATTTTTTATTTAAAAAACGGCTGTTGGGAATACATGGATTGTGAAGTGGAGTAAGTCAAACTGAAGACTTAGCATTGCGTTCTGTTTTGACAGAAAGATGAAAATATTACTCAAAAGTAACTGTGATTTTATAGAAGTATTTCCTTCAGGATTTATAAGTAAAATAACTGTTTTTTCCCATAAAACCAAGCTGAATAAATGCAGCTTTTAATAGGAACTTGTTTTATTCAGGGTAGGGTTAAGTCTTAAATGGCAGGAAGTTTTTAAAAATGAGTTCTTTAACTAGTCTGCTCAAACCTGTTCTGTGGCCTGGGTAATTTAATCTACTTAGATACATTACTATTTTAAAAAATAATGAAGTGTGCAATATATATGCAACAGTTCTATGAATATGAAGATTGGCTATGTTCTGATACTGTGATACTTTGGGGATAAGTTTCTGATAATTGAATCAAGTAGCTTTCTTAATGTTGATTAATATACATAGTGCACAGAGTAAGATATTACACATTATCATATTTAAAATAATCGTCATTTGCTCTTATAGCAGCAGTATTATATAGGTTGTGTTCACACGATCAAACTAAACCAAAATGTCATCTCCCTTAATTGTTGCTTACCTCAGTCCTTGATTAATAGTTTAAAATTATGAAGGCTTTGGAAAAGGTGCTTTACAGCTTTTAAAAGATTGTACCCACTATTGCAAAATGTCGCCCACACCAGCAGTTACATAACCATGATCTGGGTGCTTGGCAATGTGTTTACACTTATGACTATTAAATGCCCCATGATTATGTGATTGCCACTTGCAATATTTCCTGCTGGCCTCCCCAGAAAATCAATGGGGAAGCTGGCAGAGATGTTTGTGAGCTGCTGAAGCTTACCAAGAGAAGAGGATTCCGTCATCTTTGGGGGATGGATGAAAGAGGTCCCTGCCGTTTTGTGCTTGCTTGGATTTCAGCAACCAAAATTCAATCATGCATGGATTCAATCACAATCCCTCTTTATCGCCCCTGCAAAGAGCTCTGCAAAGGTGGAAAGAAAAGGATGTTCAACTCCATGCCTACTTGTACCTTGACAGCTGAAATTCAAGCATGGACAAAGCCCTAAATCCCTCCACAGGCATAGTGTCTCTGTTCACTTAATAACCCATGAGATCATTTAATGACCAGTGAAGATTGCTGGATCATGGTCAGAGTGAAGCAGTCACGTGGGCTGTTTTGTTTAACAACCATTTCACTCAATAACCAAGACTTTGTTCCCAATTGTGGTTGTTAAGTGAGGACTACGCTTTATGGGTTAACATATTTTAAATCTGGACAGTTCGTTTAGTAACCTATGTTTAAGTAACTGTAAGAACATATTCATCATGTGTGTTTTGATTGCAAGAGAAAGGATAGAGGTTTTTTGTCTATCTCCTTTTTTGCATATTGGTGAAAAATAACATATTTCTCTCCATTGGAGCAAAGAACAGTCTCAGGAGAAGGGAGACACTGAAAACAGGAGAGGGAAGAAATACTGTAAATTAACTAGCTTTTATAGTTCACATTTCTGTGATCTCTCTCTAAAATTGATTCATTTTGTGTAGTCCAGGTAAATTTAAGATTAAGGAGGAAATAGTTACAATATTCCCTCAGATTCTACATTCCAAGTAGCTGATGAAAAAGATATCAAATGATAAATATGAGCAAATGCAGTAGTATGTATTTCAATTTCATTTCAGTATGCATGAGCATTATAAGGATAAACCCCCGTTTCATGAAAATATGATTTAAAAAATAATAATAGAGGGATAAGCTCTAATATAATACTGGCTTTCATTTTATTTCAGAGATGAAGGAAAACATCATAAAAGAAGGAAATAATACTTGCATTTCCATTATAAGAGATGTGGAGCCAAACCAACTTGTATCTGTTTAATTCCACTAATATATCTCACTGACAGCTAAGATGTTAGCAACTGTAATAAACATTATTTGAAATCTCTCACACTCAAACTCTAGATGGAAATAAAAATTTAATAAATAAAAATATGTTTAATTATTCATATAGACAGTTACTACCCTTTAAATCAATTGTTGTTGATTCCAATATTAAGTTATTCTTAAGAAACATTCATTTTAGTAACGTTCATTGAAAATATTCTGCTTTTATTTTTACAATATGTTTTATTGTAAAAATAAAAATTTATTATAGTAAAAATAATTTTTATTATAAATATCAAGTTGGCAAACATATTCAAGACATCCTCATCTTCCTCCTATTTTTATCACTACACCCGTGAGATGCGTTGGACTGAAGTTACCCAGCTGGCTTTAGTGACTTTGATGGTATTTGAACTCATAACCTCCCACCACTGGACCGAACTGGCTCTATTTATCCTGCGAGATAGGCTGTACTGACAGAGATCAGAATTACCCATGCAGTTTCCATAGCACAATCTTAGCACAATTTCATCATTGCACCATGTTAGCTTTTCTTATTCAGTTACTTGATTATCCTCGTTACTCTGATTGGACTCACCCCTGTTTGAAGAATCAGACAAAATATGCCCAGAATGCAGTGTTTCAAGAATTAGTTACTATTGAAATGATCATGAAATAATAAGGCAAATTTCCTTTTTGTTTTTGTTTCAAGTCTTAATAAACTGAATTATTCTGACAGTGCCAATAAACATATGATGTTCACTGTTACTTGCAGACAGTGAATTGACACCATATGTATATCCAGACATTAGGAAATAAAAATAATGGGCAGCTGTAGACCATCATTTTGCATTTATATGATTGTTGCCCAGAAATTATAAGGATCTCAAGCACAGAAGGAGAAATCTAGAAGATACTTATTAAAATCAAAGTCTGGAAGGAGCCCTGGGAGAATTGCACACTTAATACTACGTCATTTATACAGTGTTCTCTCTTACTGAATGGATGGCATAGCCAGGTTGACGCAAACACTGGAAACAGAAGTCTCAACTCAATTAGATTTTCTACTCTAAATACTGCTTGTTGAAGCAACAGTCAGTATTCATAAAACCATGATCTGAGTTCAGGCAATCAGGTGGTACACATTTTATTGGTAGTTCACAAACTGAAAAGCACGTTAGTGATTACATTAATGAAAACTCTAATTTTATTACATATTTGAAATGACGTTTTGCTATATTCCTGTTCTAAGACATCAATTTTACAGTGGAAAAATCTGCAGTGCCAACCATATAATCCTTACGTGCCCTAAATGAGAAAATAATTATTTTTCATTAGTATTATTGAAGGAACCAATATTATGCATCAAATCCATCTCACCCCACAGGCATGCAATTTATATATGAAGGAATAATTCTACATTTCTTTTGCTAAAAAAACCCTTTTCTATCATACAAGATAAGACCTCCAATATGTAGCTTAACTTGATTTCCATTCTATAACATCTAGGTGCCCAAATGAGGCAGGAAAACAAAGACCAAAGAGGAACTAGTAATAAGCTCCTATCTGTATTTAAATAAAGGTAAACTGTTGACAACATCCAGCATTTACTAATGTACATGCAAAGCAGTTTTGCCAGCCCTTCCTCTAATACAGACATGTCAAACACAAGGCCTGGGGGCCGGATGCGGCCCATGAAGTAGTTTCATGTGGCCCGCAAAGCCATCCTGGAAACAGTGAGGGAACGGCCCCCGCTGCCTTGGCCCTGGCCAGCTAGGAGCCAATGTACAATTTTGTGGTGGCCATCTTGGCACTTGCACCAGTGGACCATGCCTTGGCACTTGCCCTGGTCCCACCCCCTTCTGCCAGAGACCCTCAGATCTGTCCCACTGCTGCCCAGGCCCCCATAGGCACCCTTGACACGAATGATGTAGAACTGGCCACGCCCACCCAGTAGGCCACACCCCCTCTATCCATGCCCACCCAGTAGGCTGCACCCACCATCCCCCCAGGGCAACCGCAATGCTGATGCGGCCCTCAGTGAAATTGAGTTTGACACCCCTGCTCTAATCAATACATTGGAATAAATATTATATAAGAATTAGAACTTATAAAACAATTTACTTTTGTACTAAAGATTATTACATCAGTATGAAGTAGTTTCTCTGAACGTGGCCACATTTTGTTATACTGTATGCATAATTAGGCAGACTAACTGCCCACTGATAATCCATTACCAATTGTGATGTTATTTTGTTTTTTAATTTTTGTTTATTATTTTTAATGATTTAATTTGCAATGCTGGTCTGTGACCATAATAAAAATTGATTGTTAGTTAAAGACTTTGAACAGGCTATCACACGGGTCGGCAACCCGCGGCTCCGGAGCCGCATGTGGCTCTTTGAGCCATCACCTGCGGCTCTGGAGTCTCCTCCACCATTTGCAGGGAGAGATACAGAGAGGCACTTTCACTTCACTTCCCTTCTCTCTCTCTCTCAGGTGGACTTACCTCTGGCAGGGCTCCTGATTGACCCTGCACCCGGGTGCCCCACCCCCTGGGAGAAGCGCAGCCAGGGCCTTGTGGCCGTGAAACTGCCCAGGGAAGCCCCGGGATCCCCTGCTGGGAGCAGCTCGCTGGAGGCTCCACTGAGTGAGCCAGCCCTCCCGCAAGGGAGACCAGCCCCTGCCATCCCCAGCCAGCCCGACCATTGGACCCACTGGCCGGGAAGGCGCACTGGAGTCCAGGCTGCCGGGAAGGAAGGAGATGCAGCAAAGGTAGGAAAGGAGAGCCGCCTCCTGAGGCCCAGCGCTGGTAGCAGCTTCCTTGCCCTCCTCTTCTTCCTCCTGCCCCCAAGGCGGTTTGGGCAGGTGCCGGGGCAAGGATGCCTGGGGGGGGGAGCAGCCGGGCTGGCATAGGGGCTGGCAGGGGCTGCGCAGCACCAGCCACCACCATGGCTCCATTGGATGGGCAGAGGCCGAGGCCGGGCAGCGCGGAGTCCTGGCTGGGGCGGCGGCGGTTTCCTCGCCCTCCTCTCCTTCCTCCTGGTGCCACCCTGGGTGACTAGGGCGAGTGCCGGAGCAAGAGGGGTACCTGGGGGGGAGCAGCTGGGCTGGCGGGCCGTGCGGCACCAGCCCCCACTGTGGCTCCATTGATGGACGGAGGACAAGGCCGGGCAGTGCGGAGTCCCGGCTGGGGCAGCTGCTTCCTCGCCCTCCTCCTCTCCTTCTGCCCCCCCAGGTGGCTCGGGCAGGCGCTGCCTCCAGCGCGGCTCCATCAATGGGCAGAGGGCGAGGCCGGGCAGTGCAGAGTCCTGGCGGGGCAACGGTCGGGCCGGCGGGGAACCCCGACGATGCTGCCATGCTTCTGCTGCCGGAGCCCCTGCCTCCTGTCCTGCTCCCCCTCCCCACCCGTTCAGCCGAAGACATGGCGGGGGCTGGGTGTGGCGGCAGGGAACCCCAATGATGCTGCTGTGCTGCCTCCGCCAATGGAGTCACTACCTCCCGTCCTCCCCCTCCTCACCCGTTTGGCTGAGGACGTGGCAGGAGTGGGGGCCAGGCGCGGAGGCCGGGAACCCCGACAATGCTGCCATTCCACCACCACCGGAGCCGCTGCCTCCCGTCCTCCCCCTCCCCACCCGTTCGGCTGAGGACGTGGCGGGAGTGGGGGCCGAGCGCGGTGGTGGGGAACCCCGACAATGCTGCCATGCCACTGCCCCCGGAGCCGCTGCCTCCCGTCCTGTTCCCCCTCCCCGCCCGTTTGGCTGAGGACGCGGTGGGGCAGCGGCCGGGCCAGGGGTGGCGGCAAGGAACCCCAATGATGCTGCCATGCCACCGCCTCCCATCCTGCTCCCCCTCCTGGCCCGTTCGGCTGCAGCGGGGGCAGTGGCTGGGCCGGGGGCGGCAGCGAGGAACCCTGACGATGCTGCCGTGTGGCTGCCAGAGGCGCTGCCTCTCGTCCTGCTCCCCATCCCCACCCGTTCAGCTGAGGACGCAGCAGGGGCGGCGGCCAGGAACCCCAACGATGCAGCAGTGGCCGCTGCTGCCACCGGAACTGCTGCCTCTCGTCCTGCTCCCCCTCCCCGCCCGAGAAAGAGGAAAGAGAAAGAGAGGAAAGAGAGAAAGACAGAGAAAGAGAGAGGAGAGGGAGAAAGAGAAAGTTAGAGGAAAGAGAGAAAGAGGAAAGAGAAAAGAAAGGAAATTGAGAAAGGAAAGAGAAAGAGAGAGAGAAAGAGGAAAGAGAGAGACAGGAAAGAGAGAAAGAGGAAAGAGAGGAAAGAGAAAGAAAGGGAAAGAGAAAGAGAGGGGGAGAGGAAAGAGAAAAAGAGAAAGGGAGAGGAAAGAGAAGGGGGAAAGAGGAAAGAGGGAGAGAGAAAGAGTGAAAGAGGAAAGAGAGAAAGGGGGAGAGGAAAGAAGGAAAGAGGGAGAAAGAGGAAAGAGAAAAAGGAAAAGGGGAAAGAGGGAGAGAGAGAAAGAGGAAAGAGAAAGGGGAAAAGAGAAAAAAGAAAGAGGGAAAGAGGAAAGGGAAAAAGAGAGGAAAGAGGGGGAGGAAAAAGAAAAAGAGGAAAGAAAAAAAGAGGAAAGAGGGAAAGAGATAGAGGAAAGAGAAAGGGAAAGAGAGAGACCCTTTTGACATCTAAAATGAAGACAACACTGCATATATCCTTTTTTACTTTTATTTTATATACACACACATAAACACATACACACACACACACACACACACACACACATATATTAAAGGTAAAAAAGGATATATGCAGTGTTATCTTCATTTTAGATATCAAAAGGGTTTTGCGGCTCCCAGTGTTTTTTTTCCTATGGGAAACGAGTCCAAGTGGCTCTTTGAGTGTTTTGGGTTGCCTACCCCTGGGCTAGCGCAACATGCAGCCTGCCAAGGTTTTCCAACAAAGTAAATTTACAGCCTCTGCCACCATCTCAAAAAGATGCTTCTCAGAACATCCAAGCTTTGTTGCCAGTTTCCACGGCTCCAGTTTTAGTAGCCACAGAACAGCTGACTGGCACTCCAAGCATTTCTTTGTGGCTCATGAGGATTTTTCATTTATCAATGTCGCATTTTCCTCTCAACAAATTGGGCAGGCCTGACCTACATCAAGCTAATAATTCTCTTCTATTGATTGTCACATTATTCTCCCTAGTTTTATTTTTTCAGCTTCAACCATGGAAGTTTTACATCTGTATATAAACACAAAGTTTAAAAATTATAGTATGAAATTGGTTTGTAAATCCTGGTTAAAGATAATAATATTATAGATGGATCCTAATTCGTGCTGTAAAGGGAAAGTGAAAATTATATTTAAACATTGCATATAGCTTACAGAGCAGGAAACACTGCACTGTACTGGAATTTCCTTTAGTACCCTTCTCAAAACTGCTTCAGAGAATTGTAGAGATGTAGGAAAGGAGGGTTAGTGGAGCACTCTGCCAAAATTATATAGACTTTGAGATCTTTTCTCATGATCAAAAGGTTCTGGGCATTTGGAGCAAGGCAAGATGAGGTAAAAAGCTGCTGTTCAATTTGCTGGTGGGCACAAGTTTCATACACCCATTAATACTTACACTTGTTCTTTAAGAGACTTGAGAAAAGACTCGGATACTTCCTCTGTTATTTCATCATCTAAGCTAGCCAAATAAGAATAGAGAAATGTAAAAGTGTCATATGGAATACGGGCTGGTCCACCCTCTGGATCATTCGTCAGAATTTCACATGCATGCTTCATTGAACTGAGCAGGGTCTAAGAAAAGCCAAAACAACAAGCAAACAAGTATATATTATATAAAGCAGGTGCTGAGATTCACTTTTAGTTATTCTAATACGGTACATTTATTTAAATAGATATATAGCCTCCCTTTCCACAGAAACATACAACAAAAGTAAAACACCACCAGGGCAGTAAATGCGAAAAGGTAGCACAGTTCCTTATAAATATGTGTGAAATGAAACCTGCATTTATTTCATCCCAGATGCATTGATAAAATAAAATAAAATGAATTGGGAAAGACTATATAAAATACCCAGAAATATTACTTCAAACATTATGCAGTTCTTAGTGAAAAATATGCAGATCATCCAGAGGTTTTAATGCATGATGATTGTACATATGTCTAGTGAGGAAACCAGAAGTATTGGCAATTTCTCATCATGGTTATAGCAGGAAATGGCACATATAACACTCCATAGGGGATTTACATATTTTTCCTTACTTCTGCATGATGTTAGTTTTCCATAATTCACCAACAGAAAATATCCTGACACTTAGGAGGGAATTTTGAATGATTCTCTCCCATCAGACTTGGATTTTGATCTTGGGGTGGCTATTATATTTTATTATATTGTATTGCTGGGTGCATTTATTAATTTTATCCATTTGTTGCCAATATATGTTCTATGGCTTTGTGTTTTAATGGCTATAAAGTGCCTATAACTGTATCATTGGTATGGCAAACAGATCACACAAAACATTTTAAATACCTCATTTTCAGTCAAAATGGAAATCATATTTAATAGAAAATACTGTCAAATGCTAGTGAACAGGAATTATTCAGTTTCAACACTATATTATTCATTTATTTTTATTTTATTTATTAAATTTTTCTGCCACCTATCTCACTATTAAGTGATTCCGGCCTGCTTACAATACCATAAATAACAGAGTAAAACAGTTATTGAATCTGCAGAGTGTTGCTCAGTGGCCCTGTTTAGGATCACCTGGTCCCTCCTTTGGAGCAGCACAGAAGAATTTGTTCAACACCTGATGGACAAAATTTTAATGGTTTTACCAGCTTTAATGTTTGTAAATCATCCAGAGTCACCACTAGACAGGGTGGGTGGCACAATCTAATAAATAAACTATATAAAATAACCTGGACCCATGCCATCAAGGGCTTTAAAGATGAAAACAATATCTTTTCCATCACCTTCTCTAAAAAGTGACGGTGGCAGTCTGGATGGAAGTTGTCCAGGCAGATAAGGTCTAAAGATGATTTTTTAAAAGAACGGGATACACTAAGGCCTCCTGAAAAGGTCCCAGGAACTCTTGCAGTGATGCATTTTCACTGCGTGGACTCACATGGCAGTTCCCATCCTGGAGGTTTTCACCAACTAGGAGATGACTGCAGGATGCTGCAAAGAGTGTAAATGAAGCTGTGCTGCTGAGCTCCCAAAGTTCAGTCTTGTGACCTGGGAGGGGCTTCTGTGGTAACTTTGAGCCTGGGTTGTAAGTAGCCTTAAGGTAGGTCCATCATAACTTTAAACAATTGTTAAATGCAATTTCCAAATAGAAACAAAATTAAATATATTCTCTTCTTTGGATAAAGGAATCAGTTTAACCATCTCTGCTTTCCTTGCTGTGGGGAATAGTATATGCTTCCAGATTTAGTGCTTGCAATGGAAAAAAAAAATGAAACTTTGATTTTGTTTTTGCTGATTTGTTTGTTGTTTGTTGCTATAGAAATGGCTAGTATATACTATTTTGTAAAAATAAAAATAAAAAGTTGAGGTTGTAATGTTATTATCTTCTACTGTGCTAAAGAGAGTTGGAACGCCTTTTTCTTTCTTTTTCCCCTCTCTAGCCCATATTTTCTTTTCTTTCCTTCTTCTCTCCCCCCTCCCGTTTTCTATTATTTTTTATTTCCCTTTGTATTTTATATTTTGATAAACAATATAAATGTGACAAAAAAAGAATAGTCATTAAATGTAACTGACACTCTGGAATGAAAATTTAAATGATGAAATAATTCTGAATCTATGAGTGCATTTTCCAATTTTTAAAAAGTAGATTTATCAAAACAAAGGGTTAAATAAATTTAAAACTTTTTAAAAATCTTATCTATATACGTGTGTGTATATTTGCATGCATTTGTGTCCATAATGCACTTATGATTTTGTTTTAAATGATGCAAACAAATCTAATTCGATCCTATTAATATTGTATATATATCATGTGTCATATCTTCTGAATCTCAAGCTTTTTTAAAAAATAATCTCAGTTATCTCTCTTCCTTATACATTTAACCAAAATTTAAAATAAAAAATTATCTTTAAACACCTCTACTATTCATTTCAGTAGAACAATACTTTTATGTTTTTATATCTTACGTACTCCACCAAGAGCACTACAGCCAAGGGCAAAAAATTTCATCCATTCTATTCCATCTTCAAAGCTGTCTAATCGAAGAAGATTACGCAGTTGTTCTATTGGTAAGCACAAATTCTTCCATTTTTTATGGAGCTCTATTAAATCCACAGTCTTCTTTTCAGACAACTGTAAAAGCATATACATCATAAAGAAAATATAAGAAAACAAAATTGGAAATTAACTGTTAGTTAGTTGGTTCAAAAACTAGTCGCTACCAGGCAGATATGATTGTCTGCCACTTGGTCAAGAACAACCGTGGCCCATATGGAAATTGCCAAATAGACTGAGTGACCTGATATTGGGTGAATGTTATTTAGTTTTAAACCTATTTATTTTACATACTTTTGAACATGCGATATTTCTGTGACCTATTTTATATCTATTTTACTTGCTCAATGTGGAATGCTATATGTCTATAATTTGAAAGTGCTTCTGCAGGAATAAAGAACAGCTAATTTAAATAAAAAAGTCATTTTAGGTAGTTCAGATCATTTAAAAATCTATAGCATTATTGTAGAATTCAGCTTTTCAAAAATTATTTTACCTGTCTATGCAAAACTTTAAGGAGGCCAGGGGTCAAACCAGTATCATTTTTTTGTGTGGCAACTGGCATTTCAACACGTTCTTTCACAGGAAGAGGCTCTCCTCTTGACAAAGCATAGAAGTACCTATAATAGTGCCATACCAAATATCAAAAGGCAGTTCAAGTCAAAAACAAATGATGCTAGTGTATACAGTTTTCAAAATCGATACCACAGCTTACACTCAAACCATAAGTGGGAAAAGTGTATTGATCAACTCTTGCTCTCCCAAATAGCTTTCTGTTTAAATAGATATTATTTCCAAATAAATTAAAATGATGCAGCTAACACTATTTCTAGAATACCTATGTGGCCTCTCTGGGCTTAAAGACATTTTTGAACCCTTAGTATATCAGACTCCTTAAAAATAATTTTGAAGATCTAAACATATTTTAAAAGGCAGGTGGCACAGGAGACTAGGTGGGCACCTAAATGACTATCTGTGAACAGACTAATGATATCAGATGTCTGTGGTGATATGTGAACGCCGAAATAATTACTCTGAGTACAGATATACTTCTAAATATTTGTGTGAAGTTTCTTAATTAAGATACCTAACTTTGGTTTTCTTCTTACCCATAAGACCACTGGAGAACATCACGTGGCTGGGTCCTAATAGCTGCTTTGGTAAATTGTTTCATAATATCTGGCAGTTCAGGTGGAACATGAATCTGTTGTGCACAGAACATAACATCTGGAACAGGCATGGTTATTCAAGGTCTCAAACTAAAATAATCCTATGAAAATTAAAAAGAATAGTATTCATTAATTAATGTTTTCTAAAATAAACTCTTGAGATGTATAAAGGCATAATATGTGTTAATATCCATTCTTTATCACATACACCTCACTTTTCTCTTAAGGAGTTCAAGGGAGTACATATAAGACTATCTGTGATGACCCAGGGCACAGCACAGAGGCAATGCAGTCAGCTGGCAATTCAAACCACCCTTTAATTGCTCCAAATTTTCCCCAAATGCTCCCACGTTTCTGACAAGCCTCCAAACAAAGGAAGACACACACATCTTCAGCCGCCTTTGGCTGCAAGTAGTTTCACATACACTTTGATTAGGAGAGGAATTTACTCAAGGCCACGGAGATAACAAGGAATGATACATAAATCATAAACCTAACGAGTCTGTGTGAATACACGCTTGCCTGAGCAGTTTCAAAAGGGAAGCCAAAATACAGTCTGAAATCTTTGAACATCCAAGCACCGTTGTCAGCCAGTCCAATGGTCAGAGTTTCCGGGTTTCCAAGCAGAAGTCACAGAACAAGAGATCAGCAACAACACACACAAAACTCCAAGGAATCAGCATTTGTTCCCGACAAATGCCTCTCCCCACAGCATCTCCTTAAATCTTAGTCTCCAGATGTGCCTTGTGGAGAGGGGTGGGATGCTCTCCTCCCGAGTAGTTGAGCCTGCCTGCATTGTTACCTCCTTCTCTCCACTCTCCATGCTCTAGGATCAGGAAGGGGTGGCCCTTGCTCACCGCCTGAACTCGGTCTCTCCTGTTCATCCTGTCCCAATCCTGAAGGGCCCTGGCCTGCCTCTGCCTACTCTTCCCCACATTTGTCTGAAACCACAGACACCTCTCCCTCAATCTCCATAGGGTCCCATTCCAGCTCATTTTCCTCCGCAGATTCAGGCTCCAACAGAGACATGACACTATCCTATTTTATCTTCACAGGAATTTAGTAACATCTTGTAACTTAGGGTAGACTAAGAAATGATTTTTCCCAAGGTGCCCCAATAAGCTTATAAAGCTAATAAAATTTACTGAATACGCCACCTTTTGTTATGCATTAGCAAGCTGGAATTTTTTTCATATTATAACAGCTTACTTTGAAAACATACAAGCATAGGTGGCACATATTTATAACTGAAATATGTTATATGCATACAAACTAATTCAAAAAATTTATTTGTCTTTTTGTTCTTCTGATACTAGATTTGGCAGCCAACAAGTAATCATAGCAAAAACTGCCAATTCGTTTTCTAGTACAAAATTAACTATATTAGGCTACATCCAAATTATGAAAGACATTTGCTTGCATCAAGGTATTGTTCGCTCACTCTTTTAGTCATTTTCCAGAGCTGCCTTTCCAACTTTCAAATTATGGGACGGGAAGCAAAAAATAAGTACAATCCTCTATAAATTGGTGATATTTTAGTCAATTAGAATATTACTTCATAATTTGAGAGTGGACTCTCACGTATACTTGTTGCTCTGCCACAAATTATTTTGCATGTGTTCTAGTTTCTTTAGTCTATCCTCCCATACCTAGCATTGATTACTCTCTTCTTGTTAAAAATCAGGATTCTGATAGCACTTGTCCAGAGTAACAAATTATATTAAAAGGCATAAGGTTTTGTACACCTCACTTCATTAATAACAACTTATTCCTGCTAAGGGCTATAAGCTCTCACTTCTCAGTTGCTTAAATCTTAAAATCCTCTGGTGATTAGCCAAGCCTAAATGCAACATAATCCAGATTTCCATATGGGGATTCATCAATCTGAGATATTTCATTAGTCAGATGCATTGCCACACATCAGTAGATATCTGCACTAGCTAAGCTACACTGTCTTTTTCTCTTGTCATTTTTGTGATATCTTTTCTGAAGCAACCAGCAGTTACAGTATTGTGTATAGTACTAAAAAAAATCTGTATGTTTATCTCTGGTCCATATGAGTCAAACTCCCATTTGTTTTTTCGGACCACTATAAAACGTACCCTAAAAATAAGTAAAACCTTGGAATGATGATTGTAATTATGACTGATAAATCAGGTTTTAGATCCATATCTCATGAAATCAGAATCCTTATTTTAGAAAGAACATAGATTTAGGTTCTGTGTGTTAATCAAATGATTCTCAGGACATTTAGCAAGAAATATATTGTTCTTAACAATACAATTTTCTAGGAATAATATCCAGAGTCAGAAATTTACATTTTTCTTGTTTGAGGGGTCCTTGGTACTCTCTGACCTTCGCTGTTTTCTTGCAGATGTTTCTTGCACTAGCACTGATATTATCTAGTTTGGGTAATGAAATGTCTGCAAGAAAACAATGAAGCTCAGAGAGCACCAAAGGACCCCTCATTTCAACCCTAACCTACAAATCTCTTTTACTGATTTTTCTCTTCTAATATACAATCCAAGTATCTACCAGTCTACAATGTGTTATATACTGCTGTTAGTTTAATGCAAAAGTGCAGAACATAACACTCAGCAGAATGTATTTCAATATACAAAGTATTAAAACTATAATCAGTGTTCATAGCAGCTTTCCACATTATCTTTGGTTTACAATATATGCCTAGGAAATACACTTTTTCTAAAGTGCATGGGATGAGATTGATAGTCTAACATAGTGGTTCTCAAACATTTTGGTCTCAGGAACCCTTTACATTCTTTAAAATGATTGAGGATCCAGCTTGGGTTTATATGGATTTTTCAAGGATCCCCAGGGGTCCCCCGACCACACTTTGAGAATTATTGATCAAACACATCTAGTTTAGAGAAAAAAATGATTTATAGAACCTGGTTTATAGAAAATGTACATTCTGGGATATTGTATGTGAGGAAAGATGTACCGTAGCCCGATAAAATGATTTGGGGGCCAATTACAGAAACACAAAAGGCCTATCTACAGTTCCTTCTTGTGAAGGGCCTATATTTACAGGCAGACATTTGTAAATCCCACTGGCTTAAGCAATTCAGTTTTATTAAATACTGATGCATCCAGATACTTTTGGATTATATTCATAAAGATCTACTAGGCTTCTACTTTTTGGTACTGCTTACCTATTTAAAACACTACTAGCCTTAAGACTCCCTTCTATTTGTTTGGTGAATAAGATTTAAGGCAGGCCTGGCCTTGACTGCATTACTGCTCAGGTCCTTTTAAATACATTATTTTACAGTCCGCCTTGTAATCCATACAATATCCATAAAAAGTGTGTTATATATTGTAACCCGTTTTCAGCTGATGGCGTGATGGAACTAGCAGTAAATATTCCGGCTGGACTGGACTGAGGGAGTCTAGAGTTTAAAAACGCTCTCAGGCAGGAGTAACTTTTCTTTGGTCAGTTATCCATACGTATTCAACTTCTCTGTCTAGTTGCAACCTATCTCTTAGGGTTTTTGTTCAAATAAGCTCTCTGTAGAAAGGGGAGCATAAATGTACCGTACCGCAAACAAAAGAGCAGCCCCCACTAATACCCTTCCCCGCGCTTGGAACGGGAACCTCGTCCCCCTTCCTCTGGCTCAAGCGGCTCTTCTGTTCTAACGGCAAGTTGCTATTCAGCAGCAAGAAGCTACGGAAAGGACAGCTGGTTGAGGCGCCGCCACGCCAAGGTTTCGTTTCTCGGCAGCCTCGCTCTCGAAAGATCTGAGCGCCAGTTAAGTTTCCAAGGCAGCATGCGCCTGTTTCATAGCAACGACGGAAAGAATCGAGAATGACAACTGAGAGCCGCGGTTGATCTTTTAAGTGTCCTCCTATTCCGTCGAAACTCTATGGTAAATTCTCTTTTCCCGCCTCCCTCACAGGAATTTGCACCAGCTGTTAAATACTCTTTAGTTTCCTGCGCCCGCGTACTTTTACACCCCTCTCAGTAACGAGAGGCCGCGCGATCTTTGATGACGCAGGCGTACCCTGAACACGTCGCGCCCTCGAGCAGGCGCCGTTAATGTTGCACAGCGCCCCCTTCGAAACTTCTCATCATTTGAGAGTTGGTAAAGATTTGCTCTGGGATAAACTTTTAAACCGCACTTTTAAATGCTCCTTAATCTTTAATTTTAAAAAAGGAGAGTGTAAATAGAAGTCAAGGAATATAAACGGTAAAATTTGCAAAAGAAGCGATAGCACATTTAAGTATTACTTTAAAAAGCTTAAATTATTTATGCCAAAGACCCAAAGATTGTACACCAACTATGGATACCAGATGTTGGATTTTCTCTTTGGTTAAACAAAGGACCACAATGCAACACAATTCGAAAAAGATTATTCCACTGGAATTTAGGAAGCACGCCACTTAGTTTAATTCTCTGAAATGCTCATAAAAGTAAATTGTACACGAGATTTTTTTTCCCTTCAATGAAAAAAAAAACCCTCCATGAGGAGAAAGTTGCACCTTTATATATGTCCTCTTAAACGGTAAAGCCTGCCTGAAAGGGAGACATGCCTGTATTAAAACACCCACTTCTAGACCTGCAAGGAAGCTGTGTCACATTTGTCAAACTGCGGGCCAAATAGTTATGTGTATATGTAGCTACAGAAACTTAACATTCTACTAGAACAATACATATTTTAAGAAATTAAACTGATTACAAATGAAACAAAGTGTTAAGCACATTTGCTAATTTCTAGCAACTTTGGTCAGATACAGACTTTCTAGTAATGTGTATTGGCAGATTTAAACATATTTTGTAATTTAATCACAGCAGGCAGAATCCAGTATTTGGCACTGTGGTAGAATTCGTATGTAAAAGCAATTTTCTGGATCTTGGGGCCTAAAAGAAGGCACAAAAGTATATAGACAAAAAAATAAAAAATAATGAAATGAAGGAACAAAATGCCTCCCTGTGTTATTGAAACAGAATACAGTATACAATTAATCTTTTGGGCAAACTTTGACATTAAACATTCTTGTACATCATTTTAAGTTATCAAATACACTTGAAGATGATCAGGTATAAAAGAAATGTTGTTCTAAGGGAAACCATATTTATAATTACTGTTAAAATAGCAGCAAACAGAAAACAAGACCAATACTTTTTCTTAACAAATTTTAATAATCATTGACCACCAGGTTGTTTGGAATAAAAACACAAATTACAAGTTACCGCATTTCTGCAAAATGCTACAGGAAGAAGCACAGCATTGCTGGCAATAACCTAGTGGAAAGACTGTTTCGATTGCTTTTTCTTTTTTAAAAAATAAAGATGTCAAGAACTAATTTTGTGCAACTGAAAGTTTATCACTAGAAAATGCTGTAATTGTGGGCAAACTATGCTCTTGCACAAAATACTGAAATTTTAATATTTGCATTTCCAAAAGAAATAGATACAAAAACTCATAGGTAAGATCTGTCTAAAGTATAGACAGTTAAAAGCAAGTGGGGGATTTTGGCTACCTTCTCATTATTACGCTTTTTAATGAGAGCAATGTCAAAAAAATCTAACAGCATCAAAATAAAAAGGCATTAATCCTTGTATTACTCAAAATGCCAAAATTGAGATAATGCTCAAAATGTCAGTAGTGGAGAAAGAGCACAACCTCATTTCTACTGTATTTTAGCATTGTGCATGAGTATAAATTATTGGAAATCTAGACTCCAAATCTTCATCCCCATCCTAAAATCATAGAACCCAAATAACTCTTTTCTTCCAGTACAAAAACATGCTGAAGACAGCAAGCTATTTGATCACATAATTTAACTACAATATATTCAGGATGCAGTCCTGAGTGGTAACACAGCTGCATAGCATTTTCTGAATACAATAAATCTAAAAAAAACTTCTCGCCATTTTTGAATAGGAAATTGCATTTTCAAACACATAAAGAAATTGAAACATTTCATATTTCATCTTGTGTTTCAGAAGTAACGACATTAAAATATATTATTATTACCTGCAAAAAAGGATTGTACATAAAAATAACTTGGAGGATAGGTTTGGTGCAATTATTGTAAAAATCAACTGATTCTTTAATGTTTCAGTTTCTTGTTCTAGCTGTTAATACTATAGTATTTAGATTCCTTCCCACATACACAAATTCATAAATCCTTCAGAATTAATTGCCATGCAAAATGCTGACCATTTCTCAAATTACAGATGCTCATTTTTAATATAAGAGAGTATGAGCTCTATGGTATACGTTGTAATTTTGGTTGTAATAAAGTTCTAACAATTCAGAAAAAGTTGTTGCATTTTTTTATCATTTACTTTTTCTGTATTTGGTAAATAAGTCAGATTTCTCCTATACTCCAATGTAAATAAATCTTTGCACATTTCAACTCATAACAAAGGAAATATTGGCTTACACAATGGAAATAAATTCTTATACAAACCTCTCAATTAACCAATTTAGATATGTCTGCCACTTTCTTCTATTGAATTTTAAGTGCGTAAAATTTCATTAAAATTCTATCTTCCAGTTCCAAAAAATTAATGCCTCACAATCAAACGATTAAAATTGTCTGAAGGAGAAAATTTGTCCTGATCCATTCTACTGTACAGTATTACAAATAAAATCACATGAAAAAAAATCAGGCAATAAAAAATGTACAACAGCTTTGATGTTATACAGAAATATTTTTTAAAAATCAAATGGAATTCATGTTTTCTTATCACAGCCATTTTACTGCTGACTGTAATGGTTATTTCATTTTCATATCCTTGTTAAGCTAGCCATTGCTATAAAAATGGAATTGATTTTTTTGAAATATATATCTTGCCTATAGCAATGTTGTTTTGTGGCACGTACGTCAACAGAACAGCAATCCAAAATAAAGTGACAACTAGATTTAATAAATTAATATTCTTTAAAGATGTACAATGAACATTCATTTTAATCCAAGGTTGTAGGGTATTGGGATATTGCTATTTACACATTTACAGATCTCAGTACTGGTAAGTTCAGAAATTGCAGATAGTACATAACCTTAACTGCTATCTGAATGCCATGAGAAAAGAAACCAAAATTAAAATATAAAAACCCAGCTGAGAAAATAGTTTGGAAATCCCAATAATAATGACCAGTCTATGACAAAGAACACAAAGGCAAGGGTAGATCAAGTAATTCCATGTGACCATTTCTATTCTTGTGAAGACTGAGGAGGTGATGGTGATGTCCCTGGTTTCCCAGTTTTTCGTTCATAATTCACAAGTCGTTGCCCAACAAGATATCTAGGATTTAAAAGAGGGTTTCTGTTAAAAAAAAAATAGTCTTCATTTCAAATTTGGTTCCAAAATGAAATACTAACTGAAGGAGCATTTCTTCACAAAAGATACAAGTTCACTGAAGTTTTCTTTAAAAAAGGAACTTCCACTGCTTTCAAGGGATACAGGAAGGCAGCATTACTACCCTAATCTAGTCAAACCACAATAAACATGAATTCTATCATTCCAAAATTTCAGGTGCTTCTGGAAGAGCTGATACTGTGAGTGATACAACGACTGTCAAAAATTCGGTCCATAGCTCCCAAGTATTCCAGTTTCTTAAACATTTAGGAGATTGTCACTATATTCTGGCATTAATAAATCTTGACTAGGATACTTACTTATCATTTTTAATATGCTCATAAAGGCGCTTGAATTGACGGACCTGAAAGGATAAGATGCCCATCAAAACTACTACCATGAGTAGAAAAGGATAAATCCGTCGTTGTACTAAATTTTGCATCTCAGGAGTGACACCTGCAAATAGTAATAGAAAAACAATGAAACTAAAAATTGGAATTCTAAACTTTTCTATTACCATTGTGAAATTTTAATGTTAAGTTACCTTTTCATTTATAATAAACTATAAATATAAACAATTATAAAAATATTAAATTTCAACTAATGTATTTTAAAATAAAGGTTGTATGTTTATTTTTATTAATGCCATCTGTATCACAGTTAAATACCTGTGACATAATAGCATTCTCAAAAATAAGAAATTGTGATTAATTGAAAAACCCAAGTGCCCAACAACTAGTCTTTTTTCTATTCACTCAAAATTGATACTCTACTATTTCTCCCTTTCTATGGATTCTTAATGATAAGACCAGGAGCTTTGTGTAAGATCCCAGTTGCCTGCTGAGATCCAAAAAGGCAAACAATACCATTTGCCTTCTTTATAAGTTTTTATTTAATATGCTGATTCTGATACTTCAGAACAACCAGACCGTATCGTAAGATTATCAGAAACTGAAACTGGCATATATGCCTAACAAAAATTTTAAGGGGGCTCATTTATAGGATCCAAAGGTCAATCTGCTTTCCACACTGGTATATCAGCTACATTCTAGACTGATAGTAATGAACAAGTGAAGCAGACTGTACTGTCCACTGATGCCAGCTATGCTTCCACTCTTCAACTTCCCAAAGGAAATTCAGCAGCTTCTTGGTCATCTGCTGGCCAAATTCATAGAAATTAGAACTAATAAAACTATGGCATATTTGAACGCTATTTTATATTGAATTTCATATTCATTCGTCCCAAATGTGCTCCTGATTCGAGAACACCTGCCAAACATGACAGGAGTATAAAGTAATTTTCTGTGTCCCATGAACTCTCACACAATCACAGAGGTCAGACGTTTCTTGTAGTTGGCCACCAGGTTTGTACACATCTCAGGAGGGATTTTATCCCACTTCTCTTTGCAGATCTTCTCCAAGCCATTAAGGTTTCGAGGCTGACATTTGGCAGCTCGAATCTTCAGATCCCTCCACAGATTTTCTATGGGATTAAGGTCTGGAGACTGGCTAGGCCATTCTAGGACCTTAATGTGCTTCTTTTTGAGCTACTTGTTTGTTGCCTTGGCTGTGTGTTTTGGATCATTGCCATGCTGAAATACCCATCCATGACCCATTTTCAATGTCCTGACTGAGGGAAGGAGGTTCT